ATGTACCACTAGAATAATCCTTAATAAATATGATACAAAAAATACTTAACTAGGTTGGCAGCATATAGGATAGTCTTACTGAACTTTTCCCTCCACTGTCATCAAAAGATTCTGGGAATGTCGAGTATGGACAAGTCAATTTGCCATCCCTAAGCACGGATGAGCATGTCAAAGATAAAATTCAAATAAATAATATTTTCCCATCGTTAACCGTTTAAACTTTTTGATAAATTAGTTCAATAGTCATCAGTATTGTTGCCACCCCAATATGATTCATTACAATCACTTTCATATGTTCAAAAGTGACTCTATTGTTTTTTCACTTTCGTGTAGACGAGTGCTATGCACCAACACGGCAAAGGGTATAAAGTAATGCTATGTTAAACCAGTGTGTCAAGCACAATCGCATTACCATAGGCTAACAACTTAAACTATAAGTAAAGAGAGATTTTTTACTAGTATCAAAGCTTTCTACTCTAGCATGTAAATTGTAGTTCTGTAAAACACAAATTAAACTCTAAAAAGCAATAAATAACAATAAAGTAGGAGCCAGCTACTCCATTTGTTTAACAGCTTAGTATACGAGTTTTTATTAAAACAAAACAACTTAGGACCTACCAGTTGAAAGTACAACCACTCAAAAAACAAGAATCCACTGACTCTTATGTTACTGCTTGATATCACTGTGTGGATGAAGCTTGATTGGGAGACCATGTACAGGAGCAGCTGGCCCATAATCAAAATTGATCTTTTCGGTTGGAATAAGCTTTTCCCACCTATATTTTCTTACCAAATGGTAAGTGAAAACTAGTAGTAGTTGTCGTGCAAAATCACTACCAGGGCACATCCTTGGACCTCCTCCGAAGGGAGTAAAAGTAAATGGCTCAGCCCCGTTACCTTCAAATCTTGTAGGATCAAACTTTTCTGGACTTGGGAAATATTTGGGATCTTTATGAGTTGTACTCACGGACCAATATACCTGCAAAAAACTATGTATGAAACATTGGCACATATATATTGAAACACGTAGAATATGTTCTTCGAAGCTACTTTTATTTACTTTAAAAATAAATTTTAACTTAATCTCTAGAAAAGTAACTTTAAGCACAATCAAATTACTTGTTACTTTCTTCGAAATAAGTTTTTGTGCCAAAAAAATAACTTCTCAAACATGCTTAAAGAAAAGGTAACTTAGAAATAATTTTAAGCTCATCCAAACATGCTTATGTGCGTGGGTGTGTATGTGTGGGGGCATGGGGGTGCTCTAACACACAAAGGAAGAACATGCCTTCCATCCCTTAGGAATGGTGAAGCCTGCATAAGTAATATCATGGATGGCCTCTCTAAAAAATCCTTGGGCAGGTGGTGCTAGCCTCAATACTTCATTCACGACGTTACGAGCATACTTCATTCTATTTATATCTTCCCATGTCAACATTTTTTCGGGTCCTTTTAAGTCCGCAATCTCGTTCTCTTACATCCAAAAAATGCAAAAACAATAGAAGAACAAATTAACATTTTCAAAAAATTTACTAAAAATTTCTCATGCTTCTATTTGGTAGGATTAAATTAGGCTACTTCAAATGGTACAAATAAGTTATATGATTGGTTTAAACGATTGTGGTGTCAATATACTACTTCAGTCATCTGATCGATACCGACTGAATAAACAATGAACTTGCATCATCGCCTAGGAGATCGTTTAACAACAATTTGCCTAACAGTTCTGATATCTTCAATTTGGTTTCGTGTTTTAGTCTCCATCATAGAATATTTACAACATGAAGTTCAAGTTTTACCACCATATAATTTTCATTCATAAGAACTGTTATTACATGCATATTCAAAATAAATTTTTTAACCAATATACGCTTGCTTATATTGTATACTCATGATGACATGCAAGAAAATTGTAATTAAAAGAGAAGAAATAATACCTCTTAAAACTTGAGCGTATACATGAGGATTATCCGCTAGATAGTAGACAAGATTTGTGATCAAAGAAGTTGTTGTATCATGGCCAGCAATGAGAAAAATTAGCAGTATACATGCAATCTCATCCTCACTTGCAAACTTGTTATCGTCATCAGTTGCAAAGAGTATGTGAGACAAAAAATGGTTAGTAGTTTCAGAATCCCTTTTTTTCTCTGATAAATAGAGTCTCTGTTGCCTGATGGTTTTTCGAAGCTCCCTGCGAATGAATTTGCAAGCCTTTATAGCATTACTGAAAGCAGTGCCGGGGATATTGATCGGCAAAGACAAGAATCCAGGAGTAACAAGAGCAAATTGCTCGTCTAACTTTGCCATTTGGGTGGGATCTTCGATGCCCAAGAACAGCCTGCAAATCAATGAAAATGTAAATTTCTTGGCCAAAGGGAAAACTTCTAGTCTTTGGTTTGGAGCCCAATCACGATCCAGGTGTTGTCTAACATTATAATCCATGACGTGAATATACTTCTTTAGAGCTTCTGGCTTCAGAAATTCAGATAAATTGTTCCTCAATTTGGTGTTGGATTCTGGGATGCAAAGTATCTTTTGCATAGATTGAGGAATCCACGATTTTACGAGCTCGTTCTCGTTTGAAAAAATAAACTTGTTGCCTGAAGGGCCACACAAGACTGCAATTTTCTCTCCTATCAAAGAGGTTTTAAAGACTTCTGAGGAGTAATTTTCTTAGAATTTGAAATCAGAAACTAATTTGAAGTGGAAACCAGCATAGATGAACGTGAACCAGCAGAACAGATTAAGACCAGCAGGAAATGATTTTATACCAGCAGAAAAAGAACTTAACCAGCAGCAGAAGTTGAAGATAGATAACTGAAATTAAGCTACTCTAATGCGGGAACGAAAATATAAAAGATAGATTTCAATATGTAAAACACATTGAAGGAACCGATGAAAGGGAAATTTATTAATTCATTCATCAATCTCAATTGTAAAGGCGATTACATTGCCCTATTTATAGACT